TATTTGTGATATGCTTATTTGGAATTGGAAGCTGCTATGATAGAGTCAAGCAAAGCCGAGAGGGCCGAGAGATTGGTGGCGCACCCAGAGCTGTTTGCTTGCTTAAATTCACATAATAACTTGTAATAAATTGTAAACTTTGAGTGTAATCCTGTTTGGGGACTCAGTCATTTATCACAATAGTTACATTTTTTTGTGTCTTCTGTTATCTATGTTTATGAGGCAGCAGCTAGAGTCTGAGAGTGAATACTAAGTTTTAAAGCAGTCATAGTAAATGCTCATGTCAGATGAATGCTGCTGCTTATTGAATCTCTCTTGTAATGCCATTACTTGTTGTGCTGGTTTGAAAGACTCCAAGTCGGAAATACAATTTAATAGGAAAAACAAAACAAGAAATGCAACAGGACAAAAAGAAACCACTGACGGAGTCAGAAAGCAACCTGACAGCCTGTCAGTCAGGGTGTTGGTAGTAATCCCATTAAATGGTGCTGCAGTGCTCCTGGAGTGATGGGTATGTTGGAGCAGTGATCCTGTAGACCTGGTCTTCACCTGAAGGTCCAGTGGTAGCTCTTGTCCTCTGGGAATGCAGCAGGCAAAGGGCTCTGTGCTGGTCCAAACCCCAGCTTTATATCCCTGTGGGAATGCTTGACTCCCCCCCTGGGGTGAAGCATCTCACAATGGGACTATGCAATTCTCTGGGTCATGCCTGGGTCCCTGACAGCCCATTAAACAGAGACAGCCCCTGAGGGAGCCATCAGGGACCAGGAGATAAGGAGCACTGCCCCACCTGCTTTAACAGCCTGTGGAGATAGTTGCATTGTAACCTAGGACACTTGTTCAAAGTGGAATGTAACAGTACTTGGGAAGTTGTTCAGTAGAATTTGTTTTCTTAAAATACTGAGATCATTTTAGTAAGTAATGAAAATGATGCACACAAAAGTTCTGTTTTCTCCCCTGCATTTCAGTTTTAAATTAAACTCATATTATTGATTTACTATTGACTCTTTATTAGGAGCTGGAATGACAAGACAAGGGATAACAGGTTCAAATTGAAGGAGAGGAAGTTTAGGTTAGATATTAGGAAAATGTGTTTTCCTGTGAGGGTGGTGAGACACTGGCACAGGTTGCCCAGGGAGGCTGTGGCTGCCCCCGCCCCTGCAAGGGTCA